CTTCTTGTTCTTCTTTCTTCTTTGTTCTTCTGGGTTTTTCTTTCCCTTAGGAATTCCAGCTTGAAGTTTTTTTCCGCATCATCCTGTCATCCGGGGGTGATCGCGAACCCCGACCCTCCCTCCCACTAGCGCGCGAGAGGAGAAGAAGGCAGGCGGCAAGTTCAGCCGATAGAGAAAGTGATCGCAGGAGGAGCAGGAGCAGGAGCAGGAGCAGGAGCGGGAGAGTGAAGGGATAGCAAACTAATCCCTAAGTTAAAGATGTGAATGGAAGGACTCTTGGCTTTCAGGAAGACGTGCTAGTTGTTCCATTTAAACTTTGATCGATGATGCAGACACGTATCGATGAGAGAGCAGCTACAGAAGAAGAGGACGAGGACTAGGACGAGGACGAGGACGAGGACGAGGACGAGGACGAGGACGAGGACGAGGACGAGGACAAGGACGAGGACGAGGACAAGGACAAGGACAAGGACAAGGACAAGGACAAGGACAAGGACAAGGACAAGGACGAGGACTAGGGGAATCAGCAGGAGAGGTGTGAGGAGAGGAAGGAACCAAAGGAACGACAACTAGGCTACTGCCATCTCGCAGGAATCATCTTGTAGTTGCTGGGGTCCTGCTGGACGAGGCCCAGGAGGGCCAACGGATCATGCACATACATCCAGGCAAACTTCTCCTCCTCCTCCTCCTCCTCCTTCCTCTTCGCCACCCTCACCCTCTGCCGTTTCATTCCCCACCTCGCGTAGATTTCGTCGACGAACCCCAGCCCCTGGGGAGGCATCACCATTACTTGACCCTCCACCGGCTCCCCGGCTCCCCCCTGCTGGGGAGCAGGAGCCGCCAGCAGGTGCCCACCAGGACCGGAGACGAGGAGGAAGTTCGCGTCGGTAGTCGCTGGCCCGCACATGCTGCATGCTCCGAGCCCCGTAGCGGGGTTGGCGTACATGAAGACACGATGCCTTCCAAGCATCTCCCGAAGGTTCCACACCCCTTCCTCCTTCAAGGTGCGCAGCAGGTCAGCCCTGGCGTCGACGGCAAGAGCGTCGTGGAGATCGGCAGTGGAGGAGACGCAGGAGTCTTGAGCAAGAGCTTCCTCGAGGACTCGGATGGACCTCGGCATGACGAGAGGCTCGGGGAGGCGGGTGTTGAGCTCGATGAAGAGGGAAGGGAGCTGCAGCTTGTCGATACCCGGGTGGGTCCAGTCGGAGACGTTCTGAACCCGTCCTGCCTCCTCCTCCCACCTGTTGATGGGGATGTGAAGGCCCGGGGCCCTCCAGTGCTCCCGGAGGTGGCGGTAGATAGCAACGAGGTACTGCTCGCTAGGGGGGCCCTTCCAGGAAGGCTTGTCGGCCACGTACGCGAAGACGTCAAGCTCGTGCTCGGGGATGCCGTCTGCTGGGAAGAGTGAGGAGTGTCGAGAGAAGGGGGAGAGCGAGATGGCCTTAGCAATCGACAGGCAGGCAGGCAGACAGGCAGGCAGGCAACGGTGGGGACGAGGAGCAGGAGCAGGAGCAGGACGAGCAGGACGGACGAGGACGAGGACGAGGACGAGGACGAGGAGGAGGACGAGGAGGAGGAGGAGGAGGGCAGATTGTGTGTGGAGCATATCGATTTGAGTTACAGGTGACGAAGAGGGGAATGTTGTTGTCAAAGAGACTTGTACACAAGACGAGGAGACTCGATAATTCACCTGGCGAGTAGACCATCGCTCTCATTGACTCTTTGTGATAAGAAACCTCAAACTTGTCGAGAAGGGAAACTTGTTCGTCGCTCAGCTCCACTACCTGCGAGTACACTTCACCCCGACATCGCTATGAGACTGAGTATGGGCTCGCTGGAAGAAGGAAGAGAAAGGAGCGGCAGGAGGCAGGAGGCAGGAGACAGGAGGCAGGAGGCAGGAGGCAGGAGGCAGGAGGCAGGAGGCAGGAGGCAGGAAGGATTGGGTAGAAGGGAGCGAGGAGGAGGTTGGAAGGAGGGTCTATGACACCCACCGAGCCTATGGTAACGTCTCCTTCATTCTTCACCAGCGATGCTACTGCCCCTCTCCAGTTCCCCGAGTGTAGGCAGAAGATCCTTGTCCAGTTCGAGACGCTGTGGAAGAGGTCACCACGAGCAGGAAGTGATATCTGGACCCGTGCCTGGCAGGACGCGAAACTAGATCGCTGGACTTCACCCTTGCCCGGAGCTGAGCTATACCGTTGCTGCCATACGAGAAGATCTGAGTGGGGAAGGTCAGGTTTCTCCTGCTTGTCCCCTGTCGTTTCCTTTCCTCTAGCTTCTCATGTCCTCTCCCTTCTCACTCCTCCCTCTGTCCTAATTTCAGATCCCATCCATCATCCGTCCATCTATATCCCTCCCTCCCTCCCTCCCTCTCTCCCCTCTCCCTCATCATTGTAACCTTCATTGCAGTCGGTTCAAGTTTCCAGCTCGACCTGACCCGGTGAGACTCCCGGGCCGGCCGGGCCGGGCCCGGGGCCTTCGTCGCCGGGGCCGCCGCGAGTTACTAGCAAAGGGGTTTTCGGAAAAAAGCGTTCAGTAAGCATCATAGAGTCGGTAAATTCGACTCTTTTACTCAAAGTTAAGTTAAAAATCAGTACGAGGACAATCAGGAGAGTCGACTCAGGCTCAGCCGCCCGGCGCTCGGAGTGACCCGGTCACGGCCGAGCGCACCGTATACCAGGCTACCGCCGCTGGGCGGGGCGGTCTGGGCCGGGCGGCCGCGCCGCCCCGGGTGACTGAGAGTCGGCTCTTGAACTGAGCTAGTGATCCCAGGCCTGGACGGGGTGGTACCAAAACGCGGTCATTACCAGGGGTCAGTGAAGGAGATGCACTAACTTTGGAAGAAGGGTAGTTTGGAAGGTCAGGAATGGGGGTAGGGTGGACTCAGTTCGCTACCTTATCGCAATGGGGTGTGCAGCCTCAGCAGTGGTTGTGACCAGCATGGCGGTCGGGACGACGCTCATGGTGGAGAAGGAGAAGAAGAAGGAAGCGAACCCTGATGAAGTCTTCGAGGACCACAACAAGACAGGACAACATGAGCTCAAGTCGAGGAGAAAGTCGTCCTTCACTCTCAAAATGGTCTAAAGCTATTGATAACTTGTTGTGACCACTGATCTTCGATACTTCTGTGCGTCGCAGGCGCGGCTGAGGAAAATGAAAGACGCTCCAAAAGCATGGCGAAGATCTATCTCTCGACTGAGCGTTGAGAACGGAACATACTGGGACGAAGGAGCCCACCAGGACACAACAGTGGAAGATGTGGACGAGAAGGAGGTGGAGAAGCAGATCAGACGCAAGAAACGAGAGGAAGAAAAGGAGGCGAAGAAACGCAGGAAAGCGAGAAGAAGAACAAAGAGCATCACTCCCCAGCCGAGATTCCAGAAAGGAGACGATGCAAGAAAACAAATGTGAATGGCACAAACTCGATTTGACAACCCTTTAGGTCGTAGTGAACATCAACAGCGAGGATCCGTCGCAAGCGATGTACGGAAGGTGAGAAATCTGTGCGTTGTCATGATGAGAAGCAGCTGAGGAGAAACTCAGAGTCGAAAGTCATGAACTCGTGCTGGGCGCTGTCGGGAAGGAGATTCAGTATCAAGTTACTCTAGAAAGTGGGGCGAGGTAGCGATCGAAGCATTGAGGCTTGTTAAGGAGCTGAGAGATGGTGTGTGAAGGCTGGTGTTCCCCGAGAAGATCTTGAGAAGAAGACAGTCGGAAGTGAGCTTGCCGACCGAGCAGGAGCAGGAGCAGTCCCAGCCCCCGACTCCATCGGCGGCTAAGAAAAGATGGTTGAACGTGAGGCTTGTTGCAGTGCAAGGATGCTTCCTGTGATGACTGAGAAAACTTGCGCAGAGGGCAAGATCGAGTTTAGGAAACGTCTTGGCGGATCTCTCCTCGGAGATCACAAACTTGGCGAGCAGGCTGACTTCGGCAGGTTCAGTTTCGATTCCACGTGGCCGGATGTCGTTTGATCCGATGTGAACAGGGAGCAAGGCTGCAGAATCAAAGCCAGAGGAAGTAAAGAAAGACGACAGCATGAAGAAAGAGGAGGAGGAGGAGGAGGAGGAGGAGGAGGAGGAGGAGGAGGAGGAGGAGATCGCAAAGGCAAAACCAGCGACTGTCGAAAAGAAGATTCCTTCACAGAGTGCTAGACACGAGCGGACGATAACGTCAGACGACCTAAACGTCTCCCCTGAGAACAGCGAGGATGAAGTGAGTCGTGTTGCTTGCCATCTGCTGCTCAGCTGACACCTGCAGGAGATCGAGCTAGTCTACCATCACATCCAACCTACCGAGCAGAAGATCACCATCGACTACAAGACGGCGAGCGGCGCTTTGAGGAACAACAAGGTTGACTTCACTGCGTTCGAGAGGTGAGGAGGGGGAATGGGGGAGGAAGCGAAGGCTGTGATACACGACAGCAGGGCTGGTTCCAAGTAGCCGGGGCAGGATCCGAGTTGGTTTCATAGGGCTGTATTGATTGCTGTAAATGTAGAGGTCGCTGAGCTGGGAAAAACTTGAAGCTCTTGAGGTTGTAAAGGTCGCATGTCAAAGACGAAGTCCTCCTGCTGGTCTCCTCTCCATCCCTGTCCTTGTCTTCACCACCGCTCCGCCCTCTCCTCCTGCCCCTTGCCTTCACTTTTTCTCACCTCACCCCTCCTCTCCTCTCGTCCTTCTGCTGCTGCTGCTGCTGCTGCTGCTGCTGCTGCTGCTGCTTCAGTCCATCCTGACAGACACGTCACTCAGCCACAGCGAGACGGACGAGTAGTCGACGTCGCCTTCATAGCGATGCACCTCCTTATCGTTCACCCCGATCACTATCATCGCCGGGAACGTCTCGATGGTGTACAGCTCGCAGAGCAAGTCGTTACTCTTGGGGACGACAGCAAACTGGAAGACCTCCTGGAACAGGAGCGACATGTAGCTCCAGATCTGCGGCGTCGTCTCCAACTCAACGAAGAGGATGGCGAGGGGGAGCGAGCGGTCGGCGACCTCTGCCATGTCCTGCGAGCGAATGACGGGGAGGTCCTTGGAGGGAGCTGAGAAGTCCACGACCTCGTCCTCGTGCAAGGCGACGACTAGAAACTTGCAGAGCTCTAGGAGGGAGATCTTGCCTTGGAACACCTTAACGGCATCCTGGTTCGGAAACTTGTGGAGGATGAGGCGAGGGAGGAGGACGGGATCTATCCCATACTCCTTCATCATCTCCTCCTCGTCCACATGGACGCAGCCGAAGACGATCCTGTGACGAAAGATTCTGGCAGCGTAGGAGAAGAGCTTCGGGAGGCTCATTTTCGCTGTGAAGAGCATGACGTGCGGCCTGTCCGTCCTGTGGGCTCGGAACTCCAGCAGGCGCTGATGGTTCAGCCACATCCAAAGATCGTCGTCCTCTCGCACTCCTCCTCCTATGGACATCTGACTCATTCCGAAGGATCCGGAGGAGCGGAACGAAAGTCTCGACCGTTCGTGAGCATGGAGGTTGGTATCGGACATGCTCCTCTCGAGTCCCTTCCTCCACTCCTCGCTCCTCTCCTTCCCTCGGAGCACATCGACGGCCCTGTGCCTGAAAGATACGTTGGTCCTCGACCCGTTGCTGCTGCCCGATGGTGCCGAGAGGAAAGGAGGCGCAGGGACCTCGAGCTCTTCCTTGCCTTCCTTCTCTCCCTCCGACACTTTCGTCTCCTCCCCCTCCTCCTTCCTCCTCGTGGGCGACTTGGTCAAGCTCGTTACAGCCTCCGTCACAGCATAGCCGAGCATCGCCATCAGAGCAAGGGCGAGCACAACGGCGTGCAGAGGGTTCTCTGCAGGGTGTGTAGAGAGGAAGGAGACGAGGACCAGAGCGGGAGGGAGAAGCTTTGCAAGCACGACGAGAGGAGAGAATCTGATCAGGAGCAAGACAGCAAACAGCGGGAAGATCAGCACCGGGTTCCACAGGAGCACTCCCTCCACCCACTTGCCGATGCTCGTACACTCAGGGGAAATCCATGAGACCCAGGCCTCCACGAACCGCCGGAGGAGGCTGGCCAGCATCCGCAGCATCCCATGGCAGTGCGAGGAGGAGAGGAGGTGGCTCAGCTGTGTGATCTCGTGGCAGATCATATCAAGAGGGAGCATATTGAGGATCCCAGAAGTTATGGCGACCTCCCTCGGGCTGCTGAGGATGGCGAGGAGGCCGCGGGAGAGGAGGGGGCAGGAGAGGTAGACCTCGAACACGATGCGGATGAGCACGTCGACTTGCATCACGTACAGCAGCAGGTAGTAGTCCCGAAACACCAGGAAGATGCTGTCAGGCTTGCAACGGTTCCAACCTGCCTCTATCCTCGCCTTGGTCGCGTCAAAGATCCACTTGAGGTTCTCCTCCAGCCTTGCCTTCTCCCGCACGTTTTCGGGCAGACCGGCATCACCCAGCACGTGCTGGTCGAACGTAGGCAGCAGCTCCTCGATCACGTTGCTGCAGGCCTGCACTAGAGTCTTCATGGAGGGAGGGAGGTCAGAGCAGTCGCGCAGGGGCATCTCCACGTCCTCCAACTCCCTCACAGCCCGAGCAGTGATGTTGTGCCTGGCAGATTCAGCCCTCAAGGAGATGAGAGCGCGAGCAGCTGCATGCACGTCGTTCAAGCTAGGAACGAGATTCTCCACCAGGTTGGCAAGCTCTCCCCCTGTCACCAGACGGCTCAGCATCCCCCTCTTGGGCATGACTTGGTTGATGAAACCCCGTATCCTCTCGATGAGGGACGTGTAGTCTCCGTCCAGCTCTTCGTACGCCAGCTCTGCCAGCTCCGTCTCCGCCTTGTACGGTCTGGTCTTGGGGTAGGGAAGGCAAAAGATTCTGTTCTCCATCATCCTCTCCTGAACATAGTCGATCACCCGGTCGTGCATAACCAGCTCCTCGTTCGCTTCGTCTCCCAGCTTCCTCAAGAACCTTGACGGGTAGTCCTCGCAGCGATCTCTGCTGCTGTAACTCTGCACCAGCCACACGATGCTGCTGGCTAGAAACTGCTCGTCACTGATGTTCCTGAACACCTCATCGAACATCACTACGTCGCCCAAGAATTCCACGTCCAGCTTGTTCACTTTGCGCATCGTGTTGTAGAAGAAGACTGACGACAGCATGGCAGTCAAGGCAACCATCTTCGTATCGTAGACCTTCGTCCCTCCTGGCGCTCCCAAACCTTCCGAGTCGACCAAGATCGTCATCGTACCCTTCGGCACGCATGTCTTGTTGTTTGACTCGCAAGCGCCCTGCTCTTCCTCCTCCTTTTTCTCCTCCTCCTCCTCGGGCAGCTGGTGGATCCACAGGCCTTTAGTGAACCCCTCGTCTCCACTGCTGACCTCGAACACCCTCGACCTTCCTACCAGCGAGTTCATGAAGAAACTCTTGCCCGTCCGCGCTTGCCCGACGATCCCTATGGTCTTGAGCGTTTGATTGATGACACTCGGGGAGCGCAGGAAGGCGATGCCTTCAGGATCGACTTCCAACTTCCCCGAACGATCTCGAACGAGCGATCGAGACCTGATAGGCGTCGATTCATTCACATCTTGGTGACCGTGTACTCCTGCCCCGTACGAGGAAAGGACAAAGGACAGAAGGAGCGTTCCAGTAAGCAGAGTCATCGCTCCAGCCACAGGTTTGTTGTAGACTTTGTAGTTTCTCTCTGGTGTTCAGGATTTGCCTTCTTGGGGTTATCTCATATTCCACCCTTTACCTACCCTCCTTCTAGCCAGTTTCAATTAGCAACATTCGTTCCGTTTCTTCCCTCGCCCATTCACCATACTCTCAACCTCAAAGACACTTCAATCTTCTCTTCTCATAGTTGCCATCACTTTCACACCTTCATCTCTCACCGATCATGATCTCCTCTCCTCTCCTCCTCTTCTCTCCTCCATATCTTACACCCTGCATTTCGCCCTCCCTTCTTCCCCACCTCTTGTGGGGGACCAAAAAAACAGACTCGATTTTAAAGATCTTTTTTTCTCTTTTACAGACAAAAGCGTTTAATTCTTTTTTTTTAAACCCGCCCATCATCCGAGATGTCCGAGTGCAGCCGGGCCGCCGGGGGGGGGGAGGGGCCGCCGGAGCCGCCGCCGCAAGCCGGGCCCGGTCCCACGGTGACCGCTGCACCGTTACAGGGTCTGATCGAGTCACTGGGGTCTGACTGCTCCGGATCCGTAGTAAGAGCACCATGTGACTCTGATGATAGTATCAGCGATCAACGTGTTTATTTACCATCATTCCACGTAAATTTTCTCATCTAGTTAAGGTTACAGTCAATCAATTTAAAAGTGACGCTACTCAGTCAGCACAGGCGGCTCGGGGGGCTGCAAGAAGAGGATCAGATCGTAACAGCCTTGACAAGATCCTTGGGGTTCGACATTTCTGCGCCATCCAGTCAGTTCACCCACGAGCCGGACGAGCTGCACTCACTCATGTAAGGCCGCAGGATGGTCTGCCTCATGGACTTGACCATGCTCTCCTGCAGGCTCTGAAGCTTCTCCGACTTCTCCTCCGCGCTCGCGACAGCGCTTCGCATCCTGGATGGAACATCAGAACGCGATATGCAACGAAAGGAGATGAAGAGGGAAGGAGGGGAAGTATTCGAAGGGAGGTAGTGGGCAGGTGGGAGTGATTGAGAACACGAGGAAGGGAACACGGAGGGAGAAAGCATCTGTGTACCTGTCCATTCCAGTGTTGATGAAGTTCCTTGCCCACTCAATGAGGTCTGGGAATTCTGAGCAGCCATTCTGACTGAGGAGAAGGTTTCTGTCCATGATGCTCAACTCCTGCGTGAGTGTCTCAGATCTGAGTCGAAGATGACGATGAGGGTAGAGGAAGGAGAGGGGAGGAGAGAAGGAGAGGGGAGGAGAGAAGGAGAGGGGAGGAGAGAAGGAGAGGAGAGGAGAGGAGAGGGGAGGAGAGGAGAGGAGAGGAGAGGAGAGGAGAGGAGAGGAGAGGAGAGGAGAAAAAGTTTTGCATCGTGCGGGAGGGGAAAGGAGGGAGACCTGCATCAGGGGATGGGAGGACGGGAGCATAGTTCCGCTCTTGGGGAGCTTGGCGAATTTCTCATCCGTGTCTAGGAGGTCAATCAATGACTTCACATCAGCTCGACTCTGCTCCCTACCTTTCACTTTGGTCGACGCCTCGTACACGCTCTCCCACTTCCTCTCCTCCTCCTGCACAGATCCGTAACCACAACACACATCCACTGTCTTCCCAAGAACAGCTCCTCACCTGGAACTTGGCCAGCAGCGCCTTCAGCTCTGCCTCCTCAGCTGTCCGCTGGTCGTTGAGAGGGTTTGGCTTTGGCCTCTCAACCTCTCCTCGTGCGTAAGCGGTCTGAGCAGGCAGCCGGTGGTTGGAGAGACGCTTCATCTTGTTGATCGTCACTCTCTCTGTCTCCATGATGAACTGAGCGCAGATTTCCTCGAAGGCCTCGACCAGTTGTGGAGCCTCGTGGCCATAGACACGCCTGGCGGGTTGAAAATTCACCGCAGCGAAGGAGCAGTCGATCCTGTCCTGCTTACCTCACACTCGCCGTCTCAGCTTCTACGATGAGTTCGAGCAGCTTCTGCAGTCTCCGAGGCTCCTGCGCATCCTCCACATCACCAACCAAACCGCGTCGCGCCAAGTCAAACGGAACCGGAAGGTCAGCAGGAATCTCCTCGTGAAGGACCTGAGCAGCAGACACGATTGAGATGGAGGATTACATCATCAGCTCTCCAGCTCACCAGCTTTGAGAAGTTGCTCTTGTACTCGGGAAGCTTGGCCTCGCCATCATGGGCCGGGAGATCTTTGCCAGCCTCAGCTTTGGACGGCTGTGAAGTCGTCAAGGGTTGAACCACGACAAATAAAGGCTCACTCTCTCCGACTTGGAAGACTTCTTGGAAGCTGCCGGCTGATCATCGTGGACCTTACTTGCACGCTCACTCTACAGATGCGATCAGAACATGCCGCTGTCCTGCCGATGCTTCATACCTTGCGGTGATGTGAAGCATGAGGGCTTCGAGCAGATTTCTTCTCCACCTGCTCCTGTCAGGAGCATCAACTACCACCATCGCATCACACGTCAGTTGGACCTTCTTTGACTTCTTCGCAACTGATGCCTCAACAGGCTCTTCCTCGCTGACCTCCTCCTCGATCGTCTGTACGGCAAGCATCAGATTGTGCTGAGGACGCATGCCATCGCTCTTTCATCACCCGCTTCTTGGACTCCTTCTCAGACAAATGCTGCGAGGCTCGTACGTGAGCGAGTGTTTGAGATGAGGTGCATGTGACTGACCTTGTGAGCTGTCTTGGAAGACCTGGATGACTTCTCGTCCTGGCCAACAGACATTACTTGCATGTTCGGAGGTTACACGAGATTATATGAATTACCCTTTGGCTATGAGATTCTCTCTTGCTGTGTTCTTTTGTTTTCTTTCGCTCATCGCGCTCCTGATCAACTTCTGCTTTCTCAGTTCGTTTGTTCTCGTGGTGGTTTTCTTTTGTTCTTGATTCCTGGGTTGGATTAGAAAAGAAAGAAGAGACCCGCCCTGCTTTCTCACATGCTGGGATTCCCTGCCTCTCCTGTGTTCAGTTTCATGCCTTGACTTTCGATCACTTGCATCAGTCTGCATGCATCATCAAACATCGTCCAACGATCATGATCAAAATTGATTGCTCCTCCACACCTTCCGTGATTTCTGCTGGGTTGCACCAGACTCCTGCCAGCATGTGAGATGATCACTTCTTCCTGATCGCTACTGTCAGACCCTCGTGATCTTGGAGCTTCTGCCCTCCTGTGGCCATTCTCCACTCACGTCCGAGTGATCTGACTCATTCTCTTCGCGATCTTCTTTCGCTTGTCTGCATTCAGGCTCACTGCTACATCCGAATTCGACGATGCGTCACCTGAAGACAGACTTGCGCTTGCGGTTGTCAGTCATCGATCCTGTATTCTGCATAGTTGATTCAAAATTGACAGAGGTGTTATACATCTTCTCCACTATCTTCACTCTGACAAAACTCTCATTCTTTCTCCTTCACCTCCCTTGTCTGAACTTCTGTCCCTCACTGATCTAGACACCATCTCCTGTCCTCTCCTCCCTGCTCATCATGTCGTGCCATGTTCTCCTCCTGCGCCCTTTCCCACCTCTGTCTCCTCTTCCTCCTCCCCGTCCCATCACCCTACCCTCCCCTTCCCTCGCTAGCGATCCCGTCAGGCCGCCATTTTGAATTTAAACCGTTGAAGGTAGCGTGGTAACGTTCCAAACCAGATTGTAACCGCCGCACAAAAATTTAGAACAGAATCTGGGATAACAATCTATTTCAGTCTGTGACGTATTCTAGGATAGATTCTAGGGCAAAATCTGGATCATCGAGTGGGAGCGAAATGAGTCCAGTGGAGGAATGAAGAGGGTTTGGGGATGGTGATGACGAAGGAGGAGGAGGAGGATGGTGGAGACGGCATGCAGATGGTCATGAAGATCAGCATGATAATGGCAAGGGGCGTGACAACGATGTGGAGAGTGAGTATGAGACTGAGGAAGAGGATGAGAACGTTTTTCTCGTTTGTTTGTGCTCCATGCAAGTCAGCATTGGAAGTAAGTCGCTGGCGCTAGAGCCGAGGCAGGAAGTGTAGGAGGAGGCAGTGAATGTGTAGAAAGAGGTCTCGGTCCGGGGTCTACTAGAAGCTGTGAAGGTAGAGAGGAGGGGATGCTTGGAAGGCGGTCGACGACTCTTTCTGTCGGCATGGATTGATACTTGCGCGGTGCAGTTGGATAGCTCGTCAAACAGAACAGACAAGAGAAGAGTTTTGCTTGCAAACTGCTTGTTCGCCTCAACGCAAGCCGACCATGCCGAAGTATTGGGTCAACAGGAGCTTGCAGAGCAACATGTCGCATGAAAGCCTCATCCGCGAGTACTCGCTGACGTCGCTGGATGCTCTCAAGTCAACGCTGGTTTACTCTTGCAAGCTTGATGAAGTCGACGAAAAGATGTATCACTTGACCTTGTCGCATGCTCTGCCTGTTGGAGCTGATCGTCCTCCACAGAAGGACCAAATTCGTTCAGTTGTCAGCCACCAATCGCACCCTAGAACAACTCTCTTGTCACCCCCGCCATTCGATCTTTGGTTCTCACTCGACGTTTTTGCCAAGAGGAGCTGACTGTTTCTTCCCCTCAGCTTGCTGGCTACGGACGATGGCGGGCATCTTCATGTCCAACACAGACGCCAACGCGTACCTTGAGATGTACCACATGCATGTTGTCGACAGAAGTCAACTGGCCTACCTGCTCAGCGAGCCTGTGAGAAGCTGGTGAGCAGGATAGAGCGAGGTGTGTTGAACTTGTCAAGCAGGAAGGAAGAGAGGGCGGGATCAACGAGCTCACGATCAACTCGACGCTGCATTCCTTCGGCCGGGCGATCGACATTGGGGCCGGAGACGGCGGGGTGACGCTGGAGCTTGCCCCGCTCTTCTCGGAGGTACCGTTACACCCGACACAACGGTGGAGACATGGGCCCTGACTCTTGTGTCAAGATCGTAGCGACCGAGGCCTCTCAATCGTGATGGCGCCACGTCAGTCTGCCTGTCCTCACCCTCCTTCCAGATGTGTCGATGCTATAGCGCGCAAGGGCATCGAGGTCGTACACACCCAGGTGGGGATGGAGAATATCTGAACTTGTCGGGAAGGATTTCAAACCTTACGATACGTCTTTTCAGGACCTGAACTCGTTTCCTTCCAACCGATATGATGTCCTTTCCCTTATCTCTGCCCAGAGATTTCTTTTCACAGGGTAGTCCAGGTTGTCATGTGTTTCAATGTCCTGGATCGCTGCTCCTGCCCCCAAGACTTGCTCTTTGATATGCATCGGCTAGCTGTGCAGGAAACAGGTCCCTCCCTCCCTCCCTCCCTCCCTCCCTCCCTCCTTCCCTCCTTCCCTCCTTCCCTCCCTCCCTCCCTCTTCTTCTTAACCCATCTTGGCTTCTCTCCACCCTATCCTTCTCCTCCTACGTTCCTTTGCTGTGCTTCCGTTGTTCTCTCCCACCCAGGTCCTCGTTTCTGTCCTCTTCACTCCCTCAAACTTCTCCATCTGAGCGTGTTGGAGCAGGAAGGATAGTCTTGGCCGTCGCCTTACCGTCCGTTCTTCGCGCCAAACTACCTGCTGCTCGCTGAATTTCGCTCCAGCTTCCGCCCCTACGTCGAGTGTGGAGCTATGGGGAAAAAATGTCCTCCTGAGCAGGTGTGGACGGCGTGAACATGATTGTGGGGTCGTCACAGTGTACAGGACCTGAAGCTGAACCCACGAGCATCGTGGGAGGCGGCGGTGAACGAGTTCCAGGAGAAGGCAAGGGGCACTTGCTGTTCAGAGCCGTTGGTGACTCAAGTTCAGATTCTGACGCCCAACAAGCTCCAAGTGATCAGCTTCTCTAGAGTCCCGTATCTCTGTCAAGGAGACGTCGACAGTCCGTGAGTGGATAGACAAGCTGTGATGGGAAATGATTGAAATGTGGTGGTGGCGACTGTGATGATGGTGGTGATGGTGATGGTGATGGTGATGGTGACGGTGGTGAGACGGTGACGGTGATGGTGACGGTAATGATGATGATGATGATGATGACGATGATGATGACGATGATGATGATGATGATGATGATGATTGTTGAGGTATTGAAATGATGGTGTTAGTTCTGTGGTTGCAAATGATGATTGAGGGACGAAAAGGAGTAGACGACGAAGGTTGAGATGATTACAATCGAAATAGATGTGACAGCGATGACATGGATAGCGCTGATTGGGGATGATAATTAGAGACTATCGCAATGACAATGATTTGCAGTTACTACGTTCTGGACGACGCAGTGTTTGTGTTGAAACCAGCGGTATAGTTGATCGGCCAGAAGAGGAAGAGGCAAGAATCGTGTGAATAGGACTGACATTTGCAGAGCTCTTTTCTGTGCTCATTTTACATCTTGAATAAATAATTTACACTTCGCCATCGGTATTCACTATCTTGCTAATCAGAGCCTTGTCACACCTTACTCTGTCCAGACTGTCTGAGTACTTCCAACTAAGATCTCAGCAGTTCTGTTTGCACAGTCAGGTTCCTTGCTCACGGCCATCCTTCATGTCTGAACGTGTTTGATCACCATCAACAGTCAGCATGCGCTCAGAAAAAGAAACTTACTGTCAACAACGTCATCCCTACGAGCCACATCCAGGAGAAAGTCGCAATAATCCGTCCTTTCAACAGCACCGAGCAGGTCCTCCTGCAACATTGACAAGTCAAACCAACACCTTCAGACCTTGATCACAACAACCAGCCCCACAGTCCTTCTGGTCGAAGATTGGTTCTGCATGTATAGCTCACTCCTCTTTGCGAGGTCCATTGCAAATAGCTCGCACGCTCGGGCCATGATCTGTCTCCATACTCAGAACTCTCAAACAAAGTTTCATAGGTGTGTTTCAGACGACACTCGTTCACCAACATAACAACAACATTCGTGCACCAACATAACAACAACATTCGTTCACTAACATAGCAACAACATTCGCGCACCAACAGAACAACGGCATTCGTTCACCAACATAACATACATCTCATCGCATACTCACATAACATGCGTCTTCTCTTATCTCCAACGAAGGCGCTTGTTTCCCCTTGGCTACTTTCGCCTTCGAGCTCGTCGGCTCGCTCATTTTCAGCTCCTCAACGCTAGCACTGCGCATGATCTGCATGCCAGTCAGCCTCGTCCCCATCGCTCGCCCTTGGCAAACTAACTCGCTTCACTGCTCGCGGTTTGAGCTCAAGCTGTTTGACAACATCTTTCGGAATATTGGCACATTCCAACGATCGCTCCGACCAGAACCTGCCATGTCATCAGCAGGAGCAGGAGGATCTCAAAGGCGGGAGAGGAGAGGACGCAGGAGAGCGAGAGAGGAAGGGAAGGAGAGTTGCAAGAGACGGAGGATAAGGGGTCTTAGGGGAAGTGGAGGTGGGTAAGGAAGAAACACGCAAGGGCAGCACGCACCCGAGCAGTTGGTTCATATTCTTCTCGTGAAACTCGGCTTGAAATCTCTGCCTCTTGCTCACGCACAGGGAGGGAGGATGGATCCACTCCAGCTGCTCCAGCGCTTCGTTGATGTCCTCCCCTCCTCTGGACGTTGGCACAGGAGTGACCGCATGGGATTCCTTGACGCTGCTTCCAGCAGCAGCGAAGGGGAGAGGAGGAGGAGGAAGTCTGTGCGAGGAGAGCGTGATCGGAGCCATGTCCCTGCTCCCTTCCGCTGACCCTGCTCTCGTCTCCTCCTCCCCTCCTTCCATCCTTCGGCAAAAGTGTATGTCTAAGTGTGACCTGAAATATTTTCGAAGGACAAAATCCTTCTTTGTCAGGCCCATGATGTCGACACGGCCCGGCCCGGGTCACCATCGCACCGGGTGCCGAGCTGAGGCCCGGCCCGGCCGGGCCCGGCCGCCGGGTGGTTGAACTCCGACTCAGGCTCGTGACCGGCTGGCAACACTCCTCGGACACTGACGGTTGCACACTGGGCGGGGCCCACGAGTCTGGCCGCTGAACCGGCGGTGTGGTGGCTAAGTACGATCATGTTGGCCTCTGACGACAGTGTCAGGGTCAAGCCTCCTCGACTCTCCTGAATCTCCTCGTACTGATTTTCAGTAACTTAACTTTGAGTAAAGACTGAGCTCGTCGATGTCGATTGGCATTCACTCTTTATTACTTTTGATCATCATCATCATCATCATCATCATCATCAGCAGCAGCAGCAGCAGCAGCAGCAGCAGCAGCAGCAGCAGCAGCAGCAGCAGCAGCAGCATCAGCAGCATCAGCATCATCAGCAGCATGTAGAGCATAAAGCTCGTCAAGTTCTGTTCCCGCCTCTGGATTGAGCGCAATCTCTCCAGCAGATAAGCTCTCCCCCAGCACACCCTTGACAACATCCCAACGCCCTCGTCGCCTTGCATGGTCGGCGCAGGTTCTGCCGTAGGCATCCTTCCTAGCGACGAGCTCTGTTCCTCCGGCATTCACCAGGGCTCTGACCACATCTACACAACCCATCGAACATGCTGCATGCAACAACGTCCTCCCATGCTCATCCGGAGACATGAACGTCTGCCAGCGCTCCTGAAGCTCTGCCAGCAACAAACTTCCTTGCGTGTTGCCGGGGCACATGATGAGGAAGCACATTCTCAGAGCACGAAGGTAGACATCGTCACACTTTAGGTACTGAGACATTCTTTTCGCCGTGTCTGTCTGAAGGTAGACTTCTGGACCAACCAGCCTCAAGGCTGTTAAAATAGTCCCTGCGTTCTCCTCGTTCCTCATCTCTTCAAAGCACATCAGGGATTTGTTGTCCTTGCACAGTAAGATTTCCTTTCCAAAAAGCTGCACCAATACCTCAAGTGCAGCCTGGCTTCCACTTGTACACGCCTCGTGCGCGCACGTCCTACCATTCTTGTCCGCGCACATGACCAGGTCCTTGCCCCCTAGCTCCAGCATGGCCTTCAGCCCCTCGACGTCTCCACTCGTACACGCCTCGTGGAGGCAGGTCCTACCATTCTCGTCCGCGCACATGACCAGGTCCTTGCCCCCTAGCTCCAGCATGGCCTTCAGCCCCTCGACGTCTCCACTTGTACACGCCTCGTGGAGGCAGGTCCTACCATTCTCGTCCGCGCACATGACCAGGTCCTTGCCCCCTAGCTCCAGCATGGCCTTCAGCCCCTCGACGTCTCCACTCGTACACGCCTCGTGCGCGCACGTCCTACCATTCTTGTCCGCGCACATGACCAGGTCCTTGCCCCCTAGCTCCAGCATGGCCTTCAGCCCCTCGACGTCTCCACTCGTACACGCCTCGTGGAGGCAGGTCCTACCATTCTCGTCCGCGCACATGACCAGGTCCTTGCCCCCTAGCTCCAGCATGGCCTTCAGCCCCTCGACGTCTCCACTTGTACACGCCTCGTGCGCGCACGTCCTACCATTCTTGTCCGCGCACATGACCAGGTCCTTGCCCCCTAGCTCCAGCATGGCCTTCAGCCCCTCGACGTCTCCACTCGTACACGCCTCGTGCGCGCATGTCCTACCATTCTTGTCCGCGCACATGACCAGGTCCTTGCCCCCTAGCTCCAGCATGGCCTTCAGCCCCTCGACGTCTCCACTCGTACACGCCTCGTGGAGGCAGGTCCTACCATTCTTGTCCGCGCACATGACCAGGTCCTTGCCCCCTAGCTCCAGCATGGCCTTCAGCCCCTCGACGTCTCCACTCGTACACGCCTCGTGGAGGCAGGTCCTACCATTCTCGTCCGCGCACATGACCAGGTCCTTGCCCCCTAGCTCCAGCATGGCCTTCAGCCCCTCGACGTCTCCACTCGTACACGCCTCGTGGAGGCAGGTCCTACCATTCTTGTCCGCGCACATGACTAGATCTTTGCCCGCGATCTCCAAAAGGATCTTCAGAACGACAGAGTGTTTGTTTTCTGCAGCTTCATGCGCGCAGGTCCTGCCGTGTAAGGATCGAGTCAAGATCAACTTGACCCCTCCAGCTTCAACGGCGACTCTCATGGCGTCCAGTCGTCCGCGTGAGCAGGCGTCGTGCAGGCATGTTCTACCTTCGTCGTCTTGTATGTGAACAATTTCGTTGCCCGCTACCTCTATCAGCGCCTTCAGCACCTCAGCAGACCCGTTCTTACAAGCCTCATGCGCACCGGTCCTCTGGTTTCTCCGAGACATCAAGGCAAGCTTTTTGCCTCCGACCCCCAACACTACCCTGAGCGCGTCCGCGTGTCCGTTGTCGCATGCTAAGTGCGCGCAAGTCGACGAGTTGTTTCTGATTTCCCAGAAAAGCTCTTCATTGCCTGCCTCAGCCGCGAGCTTTACAAGCGTCTTCAAGACCTCCGCTTGTCCGTGCTCACAGGCAACATGGGCACAGGTGTTTCCCAGATCATCTTTCCACTTTAGAATCTCAGTTCCCTTGAGTTCAACAAGCAGCAAAACTAGATGCACCTGCCCGTACTCACACGCTGCATGCAGCACGGTTGTCCTGGTCTTGACGGTTTGAAACACCAATGTTGCTCCCGACTCAATCAGCTTTCGTGTTGTGTGAGTGTATCCCAAGGAGATTGCAAGTTCGATGTAGCTGCTCCTCGTGTCACTGTACCTCATGCTTCCATCCAGCTTATGGCCTGCGAGCTTGAGAATCTGTAGCAGATCCGCCTGTCCCCTCTCGACAGCTTCAGCAGCGGCGGATAGTTCCCATCGATTGATCGTTGCCGGCCAGAGACCCAGCAGCTTGCATGTCTCAGCAGCTGCCTCTGCTCGCTCCTGGTCGTCAGTGTCGACAGCCCATACCTTCCTTGTCAGGTGAGCTAGCTTGCGCTGGTGCACCATCCTCAGATCCTCCCTGACTAATCGGTCGCACGCGTCTCCAGACGTGTGCTTCAACCAGAAGTCTAACTTGTTCATGGACATCTTCTTCAGATTCGCTGCCTGGGTGAGAGCTTGGATATGGAACGCGTCATCATTGAATTCATGAGCCTTCGACTCCCGGTACACCCTCAACAACTCATTGCACTCGTCGGTGATAGACTGCTTCAACTTCCAATGATTACCTTCATGTATGTCCCAATCGCTCTTGGAGAGTCGTTCGTTTACCTCCGCAGACGCCATCACGACATTGAGATTGGACTCAATATCCTCCACTATGTTGCTGATCAAGGCCATGAAGAGCTGTTTCCTCTTTCCCAGTATGTCTTCGATCGTCGAACAAGTCATGTTGGAGTTGATCTTCAAAGGCAACACACGGACCAGCACTCCGTTCCCGAGCTCCCGCATTTGAGGCTTCTTGATGAGTTCGAGGTAGGACAGCGGGGGATACAGTATTTCCTCTTCATCTGGGTACTGAGAAAGGAACTTGACCGAAGCTCCCCGGTCGACGGCCCCACAAGAGATTTCAAACACAGTCGGGTGATCCCCTCTCGTGGCATACTCCAGCGCAACTTGGACGTCCGTCGTGGTACTCATCATGCCCAGCTCGACTCCTCCTGACACTCCGTACTGATCCTCCTCCAGGAACTCCCGAGGAATCTGCAGGCCATGAAACCCGCGGTAGACCACTCTCTCCTTGGGCAGGACCGTCACCTGGGACAACTTGATGATGCCGCTGACGATGCAGAAGATCGTAGTCGTGTACTTGTTCCCTCTGAGGGCAGCGACCTCGGCTGATTTAGCTCCGTTGCTGATGTCGGAAGGGTTCCGCAGGACTGTGTTGTACTTGACGAACATCGGACCTGCTCGGGCATTGAAGTAAGATGCAACACGTCTCATGTAGGACACAGCATGTTTCATGTGAGACACTACATGTCTTCAGTAAGACACAACATGTCTTATGTAAGTTACAACATGTATCAAGGGAGACCCTCTGACTGTCAAAGTACAACAACTTCCTCCTCACCTGTGTAGAGCTGGAGGGCGATCACCTCCTCCTTCGCAAGTCCTGCCATGATGACGTGGGGCAACTTAAGGATGTCCTCTGCCGCTTGGATACGCCTCTTGCCCACAGAGTGCTGCTTCCTCCTCTCTGCGTCCATGACAGAGGACCACTCCTTCATCGGAGTTGTCGTGGATCCATAGTTGTGCGAGAAGAACTCAACATCGGAATCCCCTTTCATGCAGTGCTCGTTTCTCATCCCTGCCATCAGATCGGCCGTTGGTAACCCGATGTCCTGGATAAGCCCATCGTGAAACTTCGACAACTTCCCAAAGACAGCCATCTTGCCCTCCTCCATGCAAAATTTGGTGTTCTCGCAGGCATCTGCTCTTGTGTTCCTTTCGCTCTTGTCTCTGGACCTCACTTTCATCTTCGCTGCCACTGCCATCAACACATCGGCAAACTCCGTCACCCACTGTTTGTCGTCACAATCGCACAATCCGGCGAGCGGACTGTCTGGCGTTCCTCCTGGGATGAGTTCAGCTAGAGACTGCAGGATGCCCTGCTGGGCAAGAGCTTGAGACTTCAGGCTGATTTCCCATTCCCTAGCGATAGCGTCCCGATACTCTGCAAAAGATTCCTGGCGTTCAGAATGAGCGCGGAGAATGTCCTTGGCTATGTTCAAGTCTATGCTGAGCTTGCTCTCCAAGGAAGAGACGCTCCCAGCGCCTCCAACCTGCCCTGCATTCTTATACCCGTCGGACAAGTCAGCTAACTCTGAAAGCACGCCAGTCGGGAGCGCCCAACTTGTATCATCGGGGGATACCTTGTTCTTGCGCGGAGAGCTCCCTTGATGCCTGATGCAGAAAGCTCTCTTCGCTCCCTTGATGCAACTCATCATGCCTGATGCTGGGAGACTGTTGAGCTAACTCTACCTCTCCTCCACACTCCCCTCCACCATCGCCTTCACTTCCACTCTTATCCCAAGGACTTATCCCAGGCCTCACTGTGATCAAAAATATACTCAAAGTTAAGTTAAAAATCAGTACGAGCAGTTATGTCTCGACCTATCAGGCTGGGTGGCCCCGGCAGTCCGATCCGGCGGACCGGCCGGGCCGGGCCGGCGGAACTGGGGCTGTAGGTTTGCCGGATAGGATCCTGCGAATCTTCAGTGCAGCGCACCGCCCAGCAGCAGTGAGTACTCGGAAGGCACTGACGACTTGCACGAGGGGTCACCTACATGTATTATATCCCCGTCATTTTATAATACTTGTACGGACCACTGCTGGTACAAATGATCGAATATTGTTCGTGTGTATAACTTTTTAAAATTCGCTCAGCCTGTACCCCACCAGAGGTCCCAAACGTCACACCATATACCCCCACTAATTCTACCCCCCAATCTGTACCCCCTTGGTCCCACTACCCACATATTCCCTATCTGAACCCCCATGTATCCCGTGTCGGTGCCCCCATTTCGTACCCTACCCCCATCTGTCCACCCCACCGTGAAAAGACGGTCAATTGCCGTCAAGCATTATTCACATCAACGCACGTAGGCATGCTGGCTCGTTGCGGGCTCATAGCCTCGCTCGTGTGCCATGCCTTCGCTCAGTATGATGGGATGACGGTCATCGGAGTCTCTGCCCAGACGTTTTCATACATGGGCAAGAATGGTCTGATCCAGCAAGATCCGAACTCCCAAAAGCTCACTTCGATCTACCGGCTGAACTTTCAAACAGTCGAAAGTGTGTTGATACAAGTTCTGCAGTCATCCAATGAAATTTACATAGTATCAAAAGGAGGGAATTATAAGGTTCTTTCTAGCTCATTGACAAGTCTCATCTCATCGTTTGCTGGAGAGACGAGTCTAGGGAAAATTATTTTGCAAAATGGAATTGTGTACGATCCCTCAACGCAAACATCTACTGCAATTGATACCAGCAATCAGTTTCAAGCAAGTTTTGTCAGTAGAACTTTTTTTGCTGGCTTTGTTTCATCAACAGATTCAACACAGCAATACAAAATCTACGACACGAACTCGGCCGGGCGATTCAGCTTTGGAACTTGCAGTGGGCCAATAATGGTTGCGCTTGACAGCACAACCATTCTCTTTGGTAGTTGCTCATCAAATTCCGATGCGCTGCTGGACACAAAAACGGGAGCGCGATCAGCCGTTTCATCTCCCCTCCAGTTCTCTTTTTCTTTTTCTGCCGGACTACATGCAGAAGTTGATGATGGAGTCATTTTCTTGTCTTCATCGTGCCCCTTTGGTGGAAACATGAGCGATCGATTTCCTTCAGGAAGCAACTACCGAATCTGCCATGTTTCTCCTGCTGGAGTAGTTCAAGGTCTTTGTGACAGCGACTTTGCAATTTCTCAGTATTCGTACTATGGGTTCTCTGCAAACCGACCAGCGCAATTGTTTGTTTCGAAACAATACGTAGTGGTCATGGAGGTCCAATCTGTCGGTTACGTCAAGTTAGGCGATCCCACCAAGAGAGTAGCATATACAGATACGAACACCATTTTATGCATGGCACTTGTAGATGATGTGATCTACTTCCAGGTAGAAAAGACTGATGGAAAGCTCTACCTTGGAATGTATGATATGCCAAGTGCAAAACAAATCCTTTTCTCGCCTGTGGACACTCGTTGGGATTACCTGATTCCCTTATCTTTTCCTCTCAACGTGCTACTGCCCCTTAAAACTTACAGCGGTGGATCGAACAGCACAAGCACTGCAGCTATCGTTGGTGGATCGATCGGAGGCGTTGTTGCCTTGTTGCTCCTCTTCCTTGGCTTTCGGTTTGCGAGACAGGGGAAGTCCGGGGTACCCTTGCTTGATGTTCTGTTTGGATGCTGTGACAGGCGGAGAGCAAAACGATCTACTGCTCAGACGAACAAGGTGCAGAAAAAAGGTTCAAACACCGCGATTGAAAGCGCAGAATTAAACTTTGCTTCTTCTCAATTTTCTAATACCGACTCCAAGATGTCGGAGCTGGGAGAGATCGTTTTGACAGGGACTGACTTGTCGTCCATGGATGACAAGACGTCAGACCTCGAAGAGATGGTGTTCACAGGAACGCCTTGGGTACAAGATGTTGCTGGAAGTGTTGCCAGCTGTGTCCTCAGCATCGGACAGGCAGCTCCAATCTTCGGAAGTATCTTCGTGATCCTAGGCGAGATCAAGAAACATGTTGATACCTACCGAGCTGCCGAGCAAGAGTGTCAGAGAATGTCAGCATGGTGCTCGGGAGTGATGGTCAGCATTGCTAGACTCGCCGAGGAAGTGAAGAGCCTGGATGAGAGCACAGAACAACTGCTCGACCAAGTTGTTCTCAAGCTCCAACAGTTTCGTGATCTTATCACTTCTCGCTTGACCTCCCAAGGGATTGGAGGCCGTTTGTATGCCTTCTGGACATCCAGCGGCTTCCTGGTAAGTGTTGCTCTCTGAACAGCAACCCTTCTGATGATGACGTGGCAGAGCCAGTCCAAGGAAGTGCAAGCACAGCTGGAGCTGGTCATGAGCAACCTGATGCGCCGACTGCAAGCAGACACGCGTGTGGAGGTCAACCAGATCTTGCAGCGCTCAGCTCTCCTGCCGCAGATGGACAAGCAGCTGACTGGCATCATGGATCAGCTGCAGGACCTGGGAGGTGAAGCTCGAGGAGCTTCTTGTGTTGTTCTGACAGTCAGCTATGTCAGGTGAGATTCAAAGCCTGCGGAATGATGTGAACAAGGTGTTGGAACAAGCAAGTCGACTCAGCGGGAAAGAAGCTTCCAAGAAGCGACGATCGTCCAACCTTGAGCGCTTCTCTATCGCCGCATCGCAGATGCAGATCGAGGCAGAGCCCTTCGCTAAGGGAGGGTCCTGCCTGGTGTACCGGGCAAAATACTCCAACATGCTTGTCTGTGCCAAAGTGTACGACATGCGAGGATACAACATGACTCAGATGCGTCAAGCTCAAGACAACTTCTCGCGCGAGATTGACTTGCTCTGCCGCTTGTCTCACCCCTACGTCCTCCGCATGTTCGGCATCTGTGCAGACAACCCCACGAGTTCCGATCCTTGTGACTGAACTAGCTCAGGTACGAGGAGAGGGGCGAAGAGACTGAGAAACATGTTGGACCATCGCACGAGGGTTTATGACGAGAGCGCAGGGAGGAGATCTCCGAGACTACATCGACGCTCGCGGGGTGCAAAGTGAGGAAGAACGTATCAGGATCATCACGGAGCTTGCTTTCGGCCTCGATTATCTACACGCCAAGGATGTAAGAAGCAGCTTCGATGCTACTCAGCTGCCAAGACTGACAACCTGCAGATTGCACATAGGGATTTCAAGAGTCGGAACGTCCTCCTGACCATGGACAAGACTTGCAAGATCTGCGACTTCGGGTTGTCGAAGGAGACAGGCAACGACACGACCGCAGGTTCAAGCCTCGGCACTCCTGCATGGTCAGCCCCTGAGATCTTGAGAGGAGAATGTCGAGAGGTAAGATAAGATGCGAGCCAGAGTCGCTGGTTCCCTGCCCTTGTTTCCAGTAGCTGAAGCTGACGATCAGGTCCAAGAGTACCTCCGAGCTGACGTGTACAGCTTCGGGGTTGTCGTGTGGGAGGTTCGCGCATAAGCGTCGCACGATCTAGAGTGACCTGGTTGCCAGCTTGAGACGGGCCGCGTTCCCCATTCCGAATGCGTCAACGTGATCGAGGTCAGTGCGCTCCCGCTGACTTGTCAACCGTCATCACCTGACATCTTTTTACCGTCAGATCATCACCGTCGTTTGTGTTCAGCACAAGATGCTGGAAATCCCTTCGACATCCTCGGAAAAGATCTCAGAGCTCATGAAGAGATGCCTGGTTCCCGAGGGCGCGAGCAGACCCAGCATGACGCAGATCCTAGAGCTCATCGGGTCGTGAAGTTGTTGAACTTGTTCTGCCACTACAAATCTATCCGATCAAGAAACTTGAACTTGAATTTAATGATGAGTCTCCTTCGCTCCAAGTTAAGTTAAACTTCAGTGGACCATCAGCCTCAGTCCAACTCCCGATGTGACTCCGGACCGTGCTCGGCAGCCGGGCCGCGGCCGCGGCCGCGGCCGCCCCGCGTGACTCAGTGACCGTACCGTACTGCCACGGTACACGGTACTGCCGGGCAGCCCGGCGGGCCGGGGCCCGGGAGTCGGAGGCAGTAGGCCGTCAGGTAGGCCGTGCCATCTGGAATGATGTGGGGGCCGCATGCG